ATTATTATTTTAAATATTTAGTTATTGGTTTGCTTGCTTGTTTGTTTTTGACATTTTTGCATCTTTAGATACGGAACAGAAAAGACAGGAAATTGAATAACTGTCACCGTCCCACCTGTGGGACGCTTGGTGCTCTTTTTTTGTTGTTGTTGTCCTTTTTCTCTATCAAATCTTTTAGTAATCATCATAAAGTATATATCATTTGAAAGCTTAGAAGTCCAAGATTCATCCTGTGAAAACCAATTTGAAATCGGACATTGCGTTACCATAAACATGGTACTTTAAAATCATTTGGCGGTCTCCTCCCCCATAGTGGGCAGTGTCAAGTGTCATATTACAAAATGCATTATGGTCTTTTAGAATCAAACCTTTTTATAATCTTGACAAAAAAACATATCATTGGAATGGTCTGAGTCCCCAAATATTCCATATTTGGTGGATATTTTGAGATAGAAGTAATATTGACAGAGAAATCTAGATATTTGTGACAGAAAAATGCATTAAAAATCGTTTAATGGAGTTTGAATGGCTGTTTGTGGTATGACGCCCTAAATAAAATGTCACAGGAACCTCAATTTTTTTCATATCAACTTCAAATTTGGAACATAACTTATTTAGATATAAGGCTTTAATTTTATACCAATTTTAGAGTAAAACCTGTTATGTAAAATGTTTATAATAAATAAAATAAAATAAAATTAAGACCAATTTGCATTTCCAATTTCCAATTGGAAAATTTGGACTAATTTCCAATTTGCAATGCATTTTATTTACAATACTTTAAAAACAAATTCCACTTTTGCAATAATCTGCTGACTTTCTTCTTTAAAAAGAGACCAACCTTAGGTCTGTATTCCAAAGTGTTAATAAATTACAACAATTTAAGTTTGGATAGTGCACTTTTTTATGCCTATTTTAAAAAATGGGGGGTGACAGTTAAGGGGTTAAGAAAGTAAATATAGGGTTGATTTTGATTTAATATTGACTTGAACCGCTAAATGTTCTATAAAGGTAACAGGGAATGTTCAAAATATTCTGACAAGGTTCTGTTAAAGTTATGAATAAACATTCTTCTGTACTGTCAATAGCATCTTAGTTCTGTTCACAAAATGTTAGCACAAAATCATTATTTATATATCATTCGTAGAACGTTGTTTTATGTTTTAGTTAAACGTTCATCTAACATTTTTTTTTAAATATTGCTATTTGTTTCAGAATGTTCCAAATTAACATTCCATAATGATAAAATAGGATGTTCCGTTAACATTCGCACAACCAAGAAAAAAACATTTTTAAAACATTGAAAAAACGGTACATTTTGAATGTTCAGAGAATATTCTGAAATAACGTTTTCATAACTTAATGGGAATATTAGCAGAACATTCTTAGAATATATTTTTTGTTAGCTGGGTAGTTGTAGGAGGAACACTGTGGAAATGACTGTCACCTAATATGTAACACAGTTGCTAATAATCTGTTTCCTCTCCACAGCGTGAGTGTATCTCTGTCCACGTTGGCCAGGCTGGCGTCCAGATGGGGAACACCTGCTGGGAGCTGTACTGTCTGGAACACGGTATCCAGCCCGACGGACAGATGCCCAGCCACAAACCAGTGGGTGGCCATGATGACTCCTTCACCACCTTCTTCAGTGAGACTGGAGCTGGCAAATATGTACCCCGTGCCATCTTTGTAGACCTTGAGCCAACCGTCATTGGTAAATATCATAATGCTGTTTAATTTGTATTTGTCATATGGGGAATGTAAATGAGTTAAATCATTGCAGCCATAGTTGCATTTATAATAGAAAGAAAAGGGATGGCACGTTGTAATAATGCTCTCACAACATTTAATAAACAGGATGGACAAAGTTTCAACAGTTTATTCTTCATAATATAAGTTACATGTAATCATTTAGCAGTTGTTTTTATCCAAAGCGACTTACAAAAGAGGACAATTAGAAGCAATTAAAGCAACAAAAGGGTAACAAAATACTGTGACAAGTCCCAATTAGTCATAGGACACATAGCAAGGTTTAATTTAATTTAATTTAATTTAATTTAATTTTATTTTATTTTATTTAATTTTATTTTATTTTATTTAATTTTATTTTATTTTATTTAATTTTATTTTATTTTATTTAATTTTATTTTATTTTATAGTCAGATAATTTGTAATATAATAGTAGTCTAAATTTAATGTAAATTGTTTTAAATTATTTTACATAATAAATTAATTATTACAATTATTATTTTATTATAATTATTATTTTAATTATTAAATTAAATTAAATAGTTTATTATTTGTATTATTAGTATTAGTATAAATCACATTACCTTGAGAAAATCTGCTTTATATTGCTGAGAATTAAGTCAGATCAGTGTTAATTAATATTTTGAATTAGCTTTTATTATTATTTTTTAATTTTTTATTTTCATTTTAGCTTAAGTTTTAGTAATTTTGGAAACTGATATAGTTTATTTATTCTCATAACGGTCAGTGATATTGTATATATGTATAATTTTGTAATTTGTATAACAATAGTTTAAATGTAAATTGTTTTAAATGATTATTTTTAATGATAAATTATTATCATACTCTTATTTATTATAACACAACATTTTTTAATAATTCGGGGGATACAGGTCAGGATCAGTGTTATTTTAGTATTATTCATATGCGATTATAATATTTTTTTTTATTTTGAATTAGCTTTTATTTTCATTTTAATGTTAGTTTAAGTTTTAGTTATATCTATCTAGGTTTTTAAATATTTCTATTTATTTTTCATTTATTTTTATTTCAGTTAGCTGTCAAGGAAACATTTCCAATTGTTTAGAGTTCTATGTTTTTCTGCATTTTTCATCTGATATTTATATTCTAGTTTCCAGCTTTATTTAAATGACTAAGAATGGTTTCTTTTTAGTTTTAGTTAACAGTGACAGCAGCGGTCAGCATTTGGTTTTATGTTGTATTATCCTGTTATTCTTTCAGACGAGGTCCGCACAGGCACCTATCGCCAGCTGTTTCATCCCGAGCAGCTCATCTCAGGTAAAGAGGATGCAGCGAATAACTACGCCCGTGGCCACTACACCATTGGCAAGGAGATCATTGACTCCGTACTGGACCGCATACGCAAACTGGTAATTAGTCTTACATTTGATTACAAAAGAGCTCAAAATAACAGAATCTAAAACGCAAATGTTCTCCCTTCTTCCACACAGGCTGACCAATGCACAGGGCTGCAAGGTTTCCTGGTCTTCCACAGTTTTGGTGGAGGCACAGGCTCAGGCTTCACCTCCCTTCTGATGGAGCGTCTCTCTGTTGACTTCGGAAAGAAGTCCAAGCTGGAGTTTGCCATTTATCCAGCTCCACAGGTGTCTACGGCTGTGGTGGAGCCGTACAACTCCATCCTGACCACTCACACCACCCTGGAGCATTCCGACTGTGCCTTCATGGTGGACAACGAGGCCATCTACGACATCTGCAGGAGGAACCTGGACATCGAGCGTCCGTCCTACACCAACCTCAACCGGCTCATCAGCCAGATCGTTTCCTCCATCACCGCCTCTCTGCGCTTCGACGGCGCCTTGAACGTCGACCTAACGGAGTTCCAGACCAACTTGGTGCCCTACCCTCGTATCCACTTCCCCCTGGCCACATACGCTCCGGTCATCTCCGCTGAGAAGGCCTACCATGAGCAGCTCTCGGTGGCTGAGATCACCAACTCGTGTTTCGAGCCCAGCAACCAGATGGTGAAGTGCGATCCTCGGCATGGAAAGTACATGGCCTGCTGTTTGCTGTACAGGGGTGACGTGGTGCCAAAAGACGTCAACGTCGCCATCGCAGCCATCAAGACCAAGAGAAGCATCCAGTTTGTGGACTGGTGTCCCACTGGCTTCAAGGTGGGCATCAACTATCAGCCCCCAACGGCGGTTCCCGGAGGAGACTTGGCCAAGGTGCAGCGAGCCGTGTGCATGCTCAGCAACACCACAGCCATCGCTGAGGCCTGGGCTCGTCTGGACCACAAGTTTGACCTGATGTATGCCAAGAGGGCCTTCGTGCACTGGTATGTAGGTGAAGGCATGGAAGAGGGAGAGTTCTCTGAGGCCAGGGAAGACATGGCGGCTCTGGAGAAGGATTATGAAGAAGTGGGCATCGATTCATTTGAAGAAGATGAGGAAGGGGAAGAGTTCTAAAGGGAAAGTGTTGTTTTTTTCTACCAAATAAAAGCCTAATAAAATAAAGCTTTTAATTGTGTTGTTGTTGTGGTTCTTTTCATAATTTGGTGACTTTGTCACATATAGGCATTTTCTAAAATATATCTGTCCATAGACCCTTTGTTTAAAAACACTGGTTATAAAAACATTATTATTATTATTACAATTAATCATATTAATGATGGAGATATTTATATTTAATATAAATTATTAGTAATTATCATGTTAATATTTAAGCCTAATAACTGCGTTATACATAATTATATAATATTAAAAAGCCATAATTTGTTTATATGCTAATATTAACAATTATATTAATTTAACAATTATCCAATTAAAATGGTGTGTATACTATTTTGAACTGTAAACCATGCAAACGTTTTTTTATACTAGAAAAGCCTTAATATGACAATATAAACCACAATAAATTAAATGAGAAACATTTACACAAATGTTTTAAACTCGTTAGCCATTTTGTATAGTCCTCCTACACACAAATGTTAAATTTATACTTTCATATTTAATGTGTGCATTACAAATAATTACATAATATTAAAATATAACATTGCAATTATTTAATAATTTGATGTTTTGATAATATTAACAATTGTATTTATTTAATTTGAATTTGAAGTGTAATTATAATTAATTTAATTATAGACCACAATACAGATTTTTTTTATTTTGTATTTATTTATTTAACCTAGATTTATTGCAATAACATTATTAAAAGCAATAAGCCCTTTTCCTAACCGGGGATGTACCAGCAGTGTATGGGTTAAATCGGCAGTCGTAAGTATGCGTCACGGTGACGTTTTCTTTGTACACGGAAGAAACCGGAGAAATCAGCGGAGGACAGGGAGAGCGTCTCATAAGGTAAACCAAGTCTGACTTTAATCCTTCTCTTAGACCCATATTCAATGGCTCGATTACAACAACAAATAAAGAGCCTAGTCTACATCTGAATGTTACGGGTCTCGCTCGGTGAATTCAATGCGGTGAAACACAAACCAGCTGTTCTCGAAGACGCCACGCTTACTGCGGACACGAATTCACGAGTCGATCGATGTGTACATCAATTACCGTAACGAATTCACGGTAAACACGTTTCACTATCGAGCAACTCTTATCAAGTGGCATCTGTTAGTGTTGGGTCGTTCTTGAACGATTCGTTCGTTTTGAACGAATCTTTAATGTGACTCGGGAAGAACGAGTCGTCTCGGGGAGTGATTCGTTCAGTCATGCGCAACATTCGAGTCTTCGGGTTTTTCCGAGTCGTTCGTTCATCACGTGACAGCCCATAAGTTTAACCTATGCAGTCTGAGCCGGAAAGGGAATTGATTAGTTCATCTCGAGTCTTCGGGTTTTTCGAGTCGATCGTTCATCACGTGACAGCCCCATAAGCTTTAACCTATGCAGTCTGAGCCGGAAAGAGAATTGATTAGTTCATCTCGAGTCTTCGGGTTTTTCGAGTCGGTCGTTCATCACGTGACAGACCCATAAACCCAAACCCGAAGATTTGTCAGATAAGAGGTGGTGAGCTAATCATAGACTGAAGACCCAGGTAAACAATTAATCTTTTCTGTTTCTTATTGCAGTTTTGTATTGTTTGTAGTGTGATCAACGTTTGCGTAAGTAGTAGACATATTAGGGAAGTAACACGTAACATTTTAATTATATTTTGTTAAAATGAACGAAATGACTCGAAAAAAGATTCGTTCATTTTGCTGAACGAGACTCAAAGGTCCGAGTCGGTAAAATGATCCGAACTTCCCATCACTAGCATCTGTAACATTTTCGAGCGCAACAGCCCACGTCATAAAGGTAAAATATAAGGAACCAATCAGAAAGCTCCCTTCTACACAGGGAATAATTTATTTTAGTGGAAAATTGGACACCGACAGTGGCTTATGTGCACAGGCAGTGTTCAGTCGGCTTGACTTGTTGGTCTAAATTGGCTTGCATTTAATAATAAATAGTAATTTATTTTTTAATTTTTTAATAGGAGTGTCTTTTTCATGTCGCTTTACAGACATCAAGAGTATATGGTTTTTATAACCAGAATGACACTGAAGATTTCCAAAGTGCCATACAGTTAAATAATGCAATATTCCACAATAACCTAAAATTTCCTCAGCAGATATTTAAATTGATTTGCAGTTGATACAATCAATTAAAATGTAATATTTTAATGGTTAAATCATAAGCTTGTATGCCTATAACAATTAGACCTATATTATTTAATGAATTTAAGACTTTCCTACTTAAAACATGCCATACTGAATTAAACTGTAAACCACACATAATTGTTAACAGGTGGAAGAACATTACTATGATAAAATAATAATTCTTCATTCTACTTATAAAGTAAAATGACTAAAAAAGCTAAAGACCAAAAAAAAGAAGAGAGAGAGAGAAACACTTTTAAATAATTAAATTTTTAATAGCTGGACTTGTTAATCACTTTCTATAGAACTATACAAATTCATAATTTCTTATATAATGTGTACATTTTAATATTGTGTAATTATTTATACAATTCTTTTTTAATAATTAAATTTTATACTAACTTGTAATTTACAGAAATCAAGAAAAGAGGATATGCTTAACCCTGTTACAGATGGGTGGTTTTTGAAACCACAGTGTTATTGAAAATTTCTCCAGACACATTCCCATAAGGTCATAGAGTTCTCTGTTAATAATGTAATATTTATTCCTAAATATGTTGTTGTTACCAACCACTGATCTATAATAGAATATAATATAGATCAGTGTTACCAACACATATTGCATTGATTTGCAGTGGACCAAAACAAAAATGCAACATACTGAATCTTAGCCTAATCCACACGAAAGTGTCATTTAAATTTCTAGATTTAACTTTTGGTTGTGCTACCAACCTTTCAGTTACAATCCTACACTTTGCTCCCTTCTGAATATGGAAAGGAACAAAAACAGAATAAATGAACAAGGAATAGAATAAATTCTATAGAAGTAATCAAGTCTTGATCTCTGACAGAGCCTCTCCTCCATCCATGGTGGGTCTTAAGCAATGCTCCGGAGAAGATGGGACAAGCTCTGTGTATCTGCTCGCGCAGTGCCATCACTTTTGACAACAAGAGATACTACTTCATCCAGAAACTAGACGAAGGGTAAGACTAGCCAGCTAGACCATTCAGTCCTTAAAACACTTGAAAGCTTACTGGAAGTATGTGAGTCCAGTGATAGAAAGATATCAAGGAAAAATGTTAGAATATTGTTTTACCATTTAAATGATACTGAAAAGATTACCATTTTAGTATTATATTTAACAGTCACTTTTATCCATAGCTACTTACAAATAAGAAACATAATGTGCAGTTTCTCATGATTCACATTAGTACACAAGCAGAAAAGAAAGAAAGATTTTTCTGTAAACAGACGGGTGTTACAGTACGTCCCTTTATTTCTAGATGTGATTTAGTGAAGTGTTTGTAGAAGAAGTGTGTCTTTGGTTGTTTCTTAGAGGTTTTGATGGTTTCAGCACATCAGGTGGATGATGGGAGCTTATTCTACCAAAGAAGAACAAAGAGAGTAAAGGTTTTTGGAAATGACTTGGTGTCTAATTGTGAAGGAACAGCCATGCACTGCTTGTTCACTGACTAAATTACAGGAGGGGCTACTTTTGCGTTTTCATTCATGCATTTCGCAGATGCTTTTATCTAAAGAGACTTGCAAAAAAGAAACAAAGCAATTGGTCAAAGAGCTGACGATTGTTGTAATATACAATGCCAGGTTATTAAACAACTAGATTAGGAAATATGGATAGTTGTGTGTGTGTTTTCGTGATTATGCATGTCAGTTTTCATGATAGTTTTCTCAAGTGAAATTTATTAGATAAAGCATAAGAAATAATTGTCTTTCATCTTAACTTCATTCTTTGCTTCTTCTAGAGGTTTCAGCTATGTGGATCTGGTAGAAGGTGCACATGATGGCCGCTTCTACGCTCTAAAACGGATCCTTTGCCATGACCGCGAGGGCCGCAAGGAGGCTCAGACCGAGGTGGAGATGCACCGCCTTTTCAACCATCCCAACATCCTCAGCCTGACCTCACACACCTTCATGGAGCGCGGCGGGAAGTGTGAGGCCTGGCTGTTGCTCCCATACATCAGTGTAAGTGGGCCCTGTTCTGCTTTTCTGTTCCAGGCCTCTTAACAAGTCCAAGAGTCCAGTGACCTCTGAGATGTGCAGTAGGACATTTAAAAGCGTTTCATGTGCTGAATTGTTCCTGTGCAGAAGGGAAGTCTGTGGTCTGTTCTGGAGAAGCTGCGGGATAAGGGGAGCTCTATGCCTGAGAGCCGCATACTACACATTCTGCATGGCATCTGTGAAGGCCTCAAAGCTATTCACGACAAAGACTATGCACACAGGTATTGAAAGTAAAATTCAATTTAAACACAAATTTGGTCAATTATGTTATTAGTTTTGTCTTTGGTCTGCATTGAAGGTGAAATTTGGGAAAAAGAACCTGTTGCTTAATAGTAATTAATGTAATTGGTAACACTGCATTTTCCAACTGCATAAACACATTTCATTACACCAAATACACAAAATAATGTTCTTTTTAGCAACATCATATGACCCCTTTAACATGAACTAACAATTAACAATATTTTACAGTTTCTAAAATAGCAGCAACAACATTTATGATAAAATGTGCAATGTTCAATAAAAATGTATTCATAAAAATAATCATCAAACAGACCTACCTGCAAGCTACCTGAAAAACTCTGTGCAAGTGCACCGAGGGCAAAAGCTGCTTTAAACGCAAAGGATGCTCACACCAAATGTTGATTTCATTTAGTTAATAAAAGTTTACTGATAAAGAAAATCTATTTATGACATTATTTTTGACAGCATCCTCATTTTACAGCATTTTTACACAAGTGCCTAAAACTTTTAACAGTACTGTAGCTTTGCAGGGAGGTTTCTTGAAGCGTCTTGGAGACGTTGCCACAGTTCTTCTGGTTTTAGTCTCAGTTTGTTCTGTGTCTTCATGTCAATCCAGACAGACTGATGATGATCAGATCAGATCTCTGTGTGGAGCACT